GATTACATACATAAAACACTTTGTAAACCTTAACATGCTATACAGATATTAGCTATTATTGCTTTTGGTGCCGTTATTATTATGATCACTAAATAAACAGGGTTCAGGACAGAATTTTGGAGGTCACCTCTGTTAAGAGGGTAGGGGATGGATAATGATCTGGCAAAGGTAGAGGAGAAGGAGAAGGCAGGCTGGTAGGAAGAGAATCAGGAAAAGGCAGAAGACAACAGAAAAAAGTATATAGGAAGAAAGGGGGGTTAACACTGTCAAAAACTACAGAAAGGTCAGGGAGGAGAACTGAGAAAAATCCATTTAGCAACTAGAAATCATTGACGACTTTTAAGAAATGAGTTTTAGGAAGTGTGTGAGGTAGTGAGGAAGTAGAGTTGAACATAAAAAAAAAATATTTCTAGGCTTTTGCTAGTGAACGGATTAAGATATAGGAAAACAGTTTTAATAGAAAGCAAGCTCAAGTAAAGGTTTCCAACAAAGAAGACCTGAGGCTATTTGTAGGCAGCAGAGTTAAAAACTTAATGGGTGGAAAGAGAGTGAAGATATGAGAGCGAGGGGATTAAAAATCAATGGTGAGGGAATGGGATTAAGGATTCGGCAACTGCAGCCCCTTACCTGATTCCTTGATGGAGAAATCAATCTGTCAATCAGTATTTATTAAGTGCCAGGTACTGTGCTAAGTCGGGGATACCAAGATGCACATTTTACACCACACACAACATTCCACACTCATGCTTCCTACCTTTATCTTCTCAAGAGGAAGGAAACGTACTTCATCATCAGTCTTCCTAAAATCACCACCTGTCACTTCTGCCAACACCTCTATCATGATCTCTCCTCATTAACAATAGCAGTGGAACCAACACGTTTGGACTTTACCACCCCAATTTTCAACATGTTTTTGAGGACAAATGGAAACAGTGCTTAAGAAGTGGAGAAAAGTAACGGAACTTAACTAAGTATATTAAAAAAAATCTACATAGGGAAAACAGGGAAGTTAAGAAGAAGGGCGGACTTAGGGGGAAAGATAATGAATTCTGGTCTGGACATGATGAGTGTGATATTCCTACAGAACATCCAAGTGAAGGTATACAGCAGCTGGTGATGCAAAACTGGAGCTAAGGAAAGAGGAGAGGACTGAACATACAGATTTAGAAGTCATCTATGCCGAGATGACAACCAAAAACCACAGGAACTAATGAAATTACCAAGGTATTACAAAGAGAGAAAAGACAGCTCAATATAGAAAACTGGAGTACACCCACACACAGGTGACGGTTCATGGAAGAGGACTCAGTAAAGAAGACTATGAAGGAGCAGTGAGACAGGAAGAAACAGAACCAGGAGAATACAATATCATGAAATCCCAGGAGGACAGAATATTTAGGAGGAGAATGTGGGCAAGGGAAGGGGCTTTTGGGTGGGCAATGTCAAAAGCAGGAAAGAATTGAGAAAATTCCATTAGAATTAGCTATTTAGACAGCTGTGAAAAGCTGTTACCAACAAATAGTGGAGTCACAAGCCAGATTTAAAGGTAGGGAAGAGATGAGAAAGTGAAGGTAAAATATATTTGAGTAGAGATGAGTTTCCTTTTAAAAAAATATTGCCGTCACTCTCCACGACCACTACTTTCTTTTGCATGAGTTTGGCCATTACTGTTAATGCCATCTTCTCAGAAACCCAGGCTTCTCAAAGCTGGTCATATCCGCATTCACAACATCTCTTGTATATTTCCCCTTATCTCCACTCAAAGAGCCACCATCTTAGCTCAGGCTCTCATTACTTCTCACCTGGACTAGCACCAATTGCCTTCCAACTGGTCTCCCTATGTCAAGTCTCTCTCTACAACTGCCAAAGTAATTTTTTTTTCTCAAATGTAGGTCATCCCCCACCTCCCTACTCAATAAACTCCAGTTCCCTATTATCTTCAGAATCAAATATAAAATCTGTTGTTTGGCATTTTAAAGGTCTTCGCAATCCGGCCCCTTCCTACCTTTCTAGTCTTCCTACACTCTACTCCATATCCTCTACAGTGCAACTCCACTGGTCTATTTACTATTCCTCAAACACAACACTTCATCTCCCAATGTTTTTGTCCATGCACTGCCCATTCCCAAAGCCTGAAATGTACTTTCTCACCCCTTGAGTTTCCCTAGTTTCCTTCAAGACTTAGATGAAATCCCACTTTCTGCAGGAAGCCTTTCTCACTCCCCCCTCCCCAAGTTGCTACACCTTCCCTTCTCAGATTTCCTCTCTCTCTCCCCCCCATATATACACACAGACAGATGTATACATAATCGTGAACATACCCAGTTATTTACATGTTGTCTCCCTCATTAGAACATGGACTCCTTGAATGTAGAAGCAGTTTTTACCTTTCTATCTCCAATATTTAACACAGCACCTGGAACTCAGTAAGTGCTTAATAAATGCTTAGTTACTTAGATAAGTGACAACAGCTTGAAAGGATGGAAGGTTCAAGTGATGACTTTTGACAGGGTAAGGGCAATCCTGGATATATTTACAGGCAACAGGGAGGGAAGCAAGAGATAAGGAGAGACTGTAAGAGAAGAGGGAATTATCAAAAGGAAAAACTCCTAGATGAGACGAGAGGACGAGGGATCCAGGGGATAAAGAGAGGGCACTGAAGTCAAGAAGACTCTTTTTCTCGAGTTCCAATCTGGCCTCAGACACTGACTAGCTGTGTGACCGTGGGCAAGCCACTTAACACTGCCTCAGTTTCCTCAGCTGTCAAATGAGCTGGAGAAGGAAATGGCAATCCATTTTAGTATCTCTGCCGAGAAAGCCCCAAATGGGGTCATGAAGAGTCAGATGTGACGGAGACAACACAACAACAACAACTTTATTGGTAGTTGAAAAGAAATGGAAACAAATCTAAATGCCCAATAATTGGAAAACAGCTGAATAAATTGCGGCATATCAATGTAAAACAATATTGTTGTACCATGAAAAATGATAAATGAGAAGAATATAAAGCAATATGGAACATTTTATACAAAGTGAGGACATCAGCATTTGGAAAAAAAGAAAAAGAAACACACCAACTAAGACTAACAACACATACATACACTCATACATCTACACAAATTGTTCAGAGCTATAATTTCATTAGTGTGGGAAATCCCAGGGGAGAAACTGCCTCTGGCCAATACCAAATCTGAAATTCGGTGTAATTTACAATCTTAAAGCAAGTCACCGGAGACACAGGGAGATTAAGTGATTTGCCCTAAGCTGGTATGTGTAAGAGGCAGAACTTGAATCCATATCTTTCTGACCTCAAGGCTGGCCCTCAATCCATTACTAGATGTCACTTTTCATATTTTATTATCATTGCTACCTTAAAAAAAACCTTAAATGTTAATAATTTAGGTATTAAGATAAAGTGTTTTTTGGAGAGTGTAGTGGTAAAAGAAAGACAAGAAAAAAGGCGGTAATAGGAAACTTTTGCTCAGAGCCTCAAATGTCGTAACCTACTACAAGTGAGATCTGTCAATGTGGGGGGAAAAAATCTCAGGATATTTACGGAACTTACTGTAATACATCATTCAAAGTTCCTTTTAAGTTTACTCTACTAAAACTTTTCACCCTTGTATTGATCATTCTGGCTGCTGTCTACAAGCCCCTTGGTCACTCTCATTTCCTTACTCAGAGTTCAGCACCAGACTCACCATCTTCCTCTCTTTCCTCGTGTTAATGGTGGCTCAAACACTCTAAGCTTCCAATTCCTCAATCTCCTCAAGTCTTATGTGCACTTCTGGTCCTATGAAAGGTTAAACCACTGTCCTATGTTTGTCCTCCATTTCTCAGCCAAACACTCTGAAAAAGTTCTTACTCTTATTTTTTCCACTCCCTCTCATTCACTCTTCTGCCTTTGCAGTCTGGCTTCCAACTCCGTCATTCAACCAATCAACTGAAACTACTCATTTGTTTTCTCTCTCTCTCTCTCTCTCTCTCTCTCTCTTACTCCCCCCACCGTCAATGATCTCTTAATTGACAAAACCAATGTTCTTTTCTCAGCAGTCACTCTCCTAGACCTCTCTGCTGCATGTTAACTCTGCTGACCACCACCACTTCCTCCAGAATATTATATTCTCTCTGGATTTTCATGATACTGCTCTCTCTTCTCCTACCTGTAAGCATACACCATCTCAGTCTGTTTGCTGGTTCATTATCTATCTCTGTCACACTCCCTTACTGTGCAAATTCCCAAGGGTTCTGTCCTAAGCCCAGTTCTCTTCTCTCTTTACACATCATCACTTGGTGACCTCTTTGGCTCCCAGGGGTTTAATTATCATCTCTATGCAGATCACTCCCAGAGCTGCATATCCAGCCCCACACTCTTAGACCTTCAGCGGAAAGTAAGGACCTTGAGAGTCCAGGATTGTTCCATTCTTTGTCAATGCTTGGCATTTAGTAGTTGCTTAAACAGTGATTATTGATTGACTGATTGCTAGAATCAGATCTCCCCTGGCCTACTCAGTCTAGGTCAAAGCAGATCCATTAAGTTCACCTTAGTTAAAACCCTTATGTTGTAGCTGATCCGAAGCCAATGTGACCTCCAGGGTTAGGGAACTCTTATGTGATTTATTAACAAGAACTTGCCAATATTTGTTACATATTTGCTTATACTTAATCTCTTAGTATCTTACTTTTCTCCTAAGTTGATATTTCCAAAATTAAAATCTTCCTTGCAGGATTATTGCTATAATAAACCTAGATAATTATAGAGAAACTATTTTTCTTGCCAAATTCTTTTCTCTACTATCACATTACAAGAACATTATCATGGAACTGTCTTGTCACCTCCTGAATGTCCTATTGGAGTTAATGCCACATAACCTATACATATAAAATTATAATTAAATTATGTCTACCTCTTTACCAGTCCTCCTAAAATATAAAGAAGTGTTCATTTTAAGTATTTCATGTCAATGCTATTATACAACACTGTAACAAAAGATACTCACAAGCTCTAGTGGACTGAGACGAGTACCAGAAATTGGTCTTGAATCAGATGATTCAAAGCTGGAAGCATGAAGGCTAGCATAAGAAACATTGAAAACACATTAGCTTCTGCATAACTTAACTATTTTATTTCTAGTACATGTTTTACTTTCAGCTAATAAAGGTTAGTATATTGTAAACATAATAAAAATACGTGCAAGTATTTAGGATTTTAAATTTTAGAGATAAGGGTAATTTGAAATTGGAAAAAATCAAGAACATTTAATAACAAACTCCTTTTTCATAATTTTCAGGTGAGGTAAAAAAGAGTACTGAACAATAAATGTACTAAATAATAAAAAATAATAAAATGATTCATCTGTAGCATGAAAATTAAAATTTGGAACATTCAATGAAGAACATTTAATGATGAACTCCTTTTAACAATTTTCAGGTGAGACAAAGCATATTGATTGATTAATGAAATGATACATCCGTAGCATAAAAATTATTTTGTGCCATTCTCTATAAATATGACTTATAAACCACCACTACCAGTTTTAAGACACAGGACTTTCCTAGTCACAAAGCATCACTAAGAAGATGGTAAGGAATTCATCAGCAGTAATCAAATTCATAGACACATAATACTCACTAGCTGTGTGACTCTGGGCAAGTCACTTAACCCCAACTGCCTCACCAAAAAAAATGAAAAAGAAAAGTAATCAAATTCATAAACACCTACCCCTAAATAGAAAAATAGGAAAAAAAATAGCGGAATGTATGGGTAATCCGTTATTTAATATCAACTACTTTTCTCCACCGCTCCATGACCCTACTTTCCACTAGATATAAAAAATTATGATATCAATTCATCTTAAAGGAAATAAAAGTAGAAATTACAGTATAATAAGCCACTCGGTTTCATGAACTTTTAAAACTACAATGAAACAAAAACATCAGGTACCTAAAAGAAGAAGGAGGTCTATTATCTGCTGTTCTTGAAGATGCAGGTCCAAAAAGTTTTCTTTGATCTTCACGTGGTGTAAATGGTCTTTCAGTTCTAACTGTCCTTAATGCATTTCGTGCTTCGTTGATGATTTCTGCACTCGTCTTCTGCTTGGATAATGAACGTCTATAAAATGGGTCCAGTTTTTCCAACTTTTTATCATGTGAAGACTGCATCTTTCTTTGTTGACGCAAAGTACCCTTCGGGAAGCACACCACACACACTGCAGATAGTAATATACAATTAAAGGATTAGTGAATGCTTAAATAATCTATATTACATTTTGCTATACTATACTTTCAAATGCTAAATGTTAATGAATATTTAAAAACATGACAAACATTTCAAGTAAGACATCATTTCAAATGAATATTTATTACTTTTAAACACTAAAACCATAACTATCCTATAGCCTAGAATGTTACCATGACAAAAGTAGAAAAGAACAGAGACTGCCCCATATCCCCACACTATTTGCATAACAAGCATAGCAGAAACCCTTGGCTCCCTTTCCATAAGGCAAGATAAATTAAGATTTAAGTAATACAACTTATAATAGGGACAGAGATGAATATATGTCTAGCTGAATGTATGGGTAATCCGTTATTTAATATCAACTACTTTTCTCCACCGCTCCATGACCCTACTTTCCACTAGATATAAAAAATTATGATATGATATCAATTCATCTTAAAGGAAATAAAAGTAGAAATTACAGTATAATAAGCTGCATGAGAAAGAAGAGTAGTTTTTCAGATACATTCTCTTCCCTCCTCTTCATTTTATCATTTATTCATTTTTTATTTGTCATTCACTTGTTTATTTTAATGAATTCTGCTTTTTATTTGTCATTCATTTGTTTATTTATTTGTCATTCATTTATTTTAATGAATTCTTCTTTCCAAATATTGTAAATCCTTTGCTCTTCCAACCTTCAAGGTGACCTGGGTACTGCTAAGAAGGATGGCTAACTAACATTTCCTTTCCATCCCGTTACCTGTGTCCTACCTGTACTGCAAATTATAAGGACAATGACTAATATAAACATAAGGGATAGAAGCTTTTCCCAAAATATGGATTTTTTCAACACACCAGAACAAAGTTCAGCTGAATAACTGTCTATAATATGCTTAATCTGAATTGTTATAAATTATATTTAGATCTAGAAGTCTGTTCCAGAAAATGTGTATCAAATTTCAACAGGCAATTATGAATACTGTTAGAAGACCACTGATAACTCATCTATGGAATAAAAGAGTTGTCCTAGACAATCTCTAAGAGCGCTTCCAGCTCTAATCCACTGTGATTTTCATTAGACAGCTCTCTGGCAACAGCTCCTAAAGAATAATGCTTAATATATCAGGTAATGACCATGCAGATTCTTAATATACTTCTACTTTTTATCACTGCATAGGTAAGATGCTACAGGCAAGTTTGTTACATACTTTAAAAATTAAATCTCTAAGCTTTAAAATTAACCATTAATTTCTAAAATACAGAAAAACTGCTCACTGAAAAAAAATTAAGCTTTTCCAAACTAAAAAATACACACAACTGGAGAAGTTAGTAAAAACCATATAAGATAATTAATGGGTTTCTTTAACTTAAGAAAAACACTTATAAACAAAAATGAATGGTTTGTGATGCATGTGCATGTTACTATATTCCCTTAGAGAGGTAGATTTCAATCAATGGATGGTGCTCTAAGGCAGTAAAGAAGGACTTTCCACAATATGATTCCAAGCTGTCGCCTAAAACATCCAGAACATATATATGCCTTTCAACTCCAATCAGGTCCCATTTTCTAATTTGTATGTCAGGTGGAAAAAGAATCACATGAAAAATACAATCAAAATGTTGTTCTTTTCATATGTAAAAGAGGGGTATCTTGGACATCCATGGTAACAAGCTTTAAGGGTAAACAGGAATAACCATTACAACATCCTTACCAAGTGGTCATCCAATATGTATTTGAAGACCTCCAGGAAAGGGAAAAATAACCTTCCAAATCATCCCACTCATGCCTAATCATGGCCTCTTGGAATCTCATTCCCCTCAAAACTGAGCTCAAGTATCACCTTCCACAAGAACCATTTGCTGATTCCTCTCCACTAGGTACTTAGTACCTCCTCCCTACCCAACCAAATTACCTTGCATTTATTTTACATATATTTCTATATTCTTATGTTAATCATTCAATTAACAAGCATTCATTAAGCACCTGCTTAGTCCCAGGTATTGTGCTTTGTGATGGAAATACAAAAACAAAAATGTAAACAGTCCATGCCTTGAAAGAGCTTACATTCCATCAGGGGAGATAGCATATACAGTAAATAAGTACATGCAAAATAAGTAATTATCTCTATCAATGAAGGTCTCCAAAACTTAATAATCTTAAGAGAGTTGTCTATTATGCTATAAGAAATGATGAGGGGGACAGTTTCAGAAAAACCTGGGAAGACTTATGTGAACTGATACAAAGTGAAGTGAGCAGAAACAGAATATTGTACACAGTACCAGTGGTATTGTAACAACTATCAGCTGTGAAAGACTTAGCAATTCTGATCAAGAAATTATCCAAGACAATTTCAAAAGACTCATGAAAAAATGCTATCTACCTTCTGAGAGAGGATTGATAAAGTCTGAGTGCAAATGGAAGCATAATTTCTTCACTTTATTTTTCTTGCTTTTCTTTTTGTAACACGGTTAATAGGGAAATATGTTTTGCACTATTCACATGTATAACTGATATCACATTGCTTTCTCAATGGGTGGAGGAGGGAGGAGTGGAAGAAGAGCATTTGGAATTCGAGGTTTTTTTAAATGAATGTTAAAAATGAATAATAAATTTTTAAAAATAGAGAGGGAGAGTTATCTAGGGCAGTAAAAGGTCAAGTGACTGGCCCTGGGTCAAACAGCCAGTAAGTGTCAGTGGTAGGTCTTAAACCCAGGTCTTCCTGGCTCTGAGGCTAGCTCTCTAACCAATGCATCTCATACTAAAAAAAAAAAAAAAGACGTAAGGTACATTTATTTGAGGGGAAGACATTAGCAGCTTTGGAAGACGGGAGCAGTTGGACTTGAACGGATTCTTGAATCCTTTAAGGAGGATTGTTCCTGGAGGAACAAGGATCGTTTCCTTTCTGTCTTTCAGTCTCTAACACCTGACAGAGCAATAAATGCTTGTTGGTTAACAGCATTTGTCAGACTAACTTGTTTAAACAAAGTTAGATCTTTTCTGTCAACTGCAGCATATACCTCTAACAAATATCACTGTATGAAATCCAGCCAACTCTGCTAGTATGTCTGGTTCTTTCTAGATACTACATCTGTCATCCAACTATTAAGTGTCATTTACAAATTTGAAAAGCATGCCACATACTCCTTCCTTCAAGTCTTTGATAAAACTGTTGAATAACCAAGGCCCAAGAAGAGACTCTTTCCCTGAGAAACTCAGCTAGAGATACGTTCCAAGTGAAACATCAACCCATCAATAACTCTTTGGGTCCAGTCAGTTTAGATCCCTCCCAACTGCACTTTCATTTGGCTACTTATTTCCATCTTGGGCAAAAGGATAGCATCAGAGGCTTTGTTAAATGTCTTGGTGAAATTTAACCACCTTCATCCACTGGATTGACTGAAAAGTACTCACACAGCCAGAAGGATCTATTATAGTTCCTCAAGTAGCCCAATTTTTAAGGAGAAGATAGGTTCAAAGACTTAGAACTGTAGGTACTTCCACAGATGCCTTCATTTTACAGATGAAGAAACTAAGGCTCACAGATAAAGTAACTTGCCCAAGGTCACATGAGTAATAAATATCAGGGATAAGATTTGAACTGGGATCTTATATAATTTCAAATTCAATTCAACAAACATTACTATCTGCCAGTTACAGTACACTAGAAACTGTTTCAGAATATAAGAATTTGCACAGATTATACACAGATCAGGTGGGACATGTACATTAATAGTGACACACAAACAAGAGATTAACCCAAAGTACAGTGAACCTTTAGGATATAAGCTGAGGTACGTGATAGAATTGTTTTTGTTCGTGGTACACTGCTTTTTTGGCCTTATACTGAACCTTAAAAAAAAAACATTCAAATTGTTCTCTAAGGCCTTGCACATTTCCTGGAAAAGTACATCTCCAATATAAAATGACATGATGACTGAAATTTTAAACCTCCCAAAAACTCTCCTGTCAAATGCAGCAAATGCTCTATACTGGGTAACATTAGTCAGAATAGCAAAATATTCCCTATTGGTGTCTGGAAGAAATTCAAAGTGTTAATTTATAATCTTATACAACCTAGGTTCCAACTACTTAAAAATTTGTTTCTCCTAATTGTACACATAGATGCTCAGAGCAAAACACTCTTGCTAATGCAGTTCTACAACTTTATGCTTTTAACAATAAAGAAAAAGCTGAATAGTTCCACAAGTGTCCTGAGTCTACGAAATTCCCTTCTACATGAGGAAGTTAATTTTACTTTCAATTCAAGAGTTAATAAAGTACCATAGTCTTTATTTCTTTTTGAAATAAATACCTAATGGCTATAATGACAGCAAGCAACTTTACATTTTTAGGGTGAACAAATCAATTATCCACAAAGCAAAAAAGCATTACTCATTAAAAATTATTGATGTATATGAAAAAATACCACCTTAAGGAAATAGAAAAAATAGGGAAGATGTTGCTATTTTGCTCAGAATGGTTTTAATGTGTCTGTTTCATATGTTCTCAGCTTTGTGTTTTCAAGCAGCAAGAAAATTTTTATCAAGTATTATGGGGATCATCAGTAATGCTCTATTAAAAAATGGACTTAAGTCTTAGGTAGTCTAAAAAAAAAGTAGTCGATAAGATGAGGCAGGAAAGGCAGGAGGGAAGATTTGCAAAGCAAACAGAACAAACTTTGTCTCACTATCTTTTACACGATTTTTGTTTAAAAAAAAAATCTACACCAGCAAGGATGAGAAATGTATTATAACTGGGCAAATCACTTACACTCCTTAAACCTCAGTTTCTTCATCTGTAAAATGGAGACAAGAACAGCAATCCCCCAAAACACGGATGCGAGATACAGTACGTAAAGTGCTTTGCAACCTTAACCATGCTACACAAATGTGAGTTGTTACGAATTAGTAGGAAGAGTCGTATTACCTCTTGGTGAATTACAGTACCACAAGCTAACATCCTGATTTCTTCGTCTATTAGTAAAGATCTTTATAAAAGGAGGCGGGGGACATGATCTAGCTGGAAAGCCTAGAAACAGTCTGCCACGGTTTCCTCCGCTTCCTCTGCCTAAGCCTGGAGGTGAGTCAGTGCATCATTTCTGGCCCATGTCCCTCCCGTCTTAGTTTCCCCAGGTGTTTGTTCTCTGTATTCTCCGAGACACAGGGGCGGGGTTAGGGGGAAGAGGGGAAGAGACCCTGGGAGACTCCAACCCAATCCAACCACAACCCCAGACAGCCTCTATCGAGAAAGAGGGAAAGATGCGATCAAGAAGCCCATGGGGTTGTCCACAGCACACCAGGACGGCAGATCTTGCTAAAGTCGTTCAGCGCTTTACACCAACCACAACCTAGGGGCGCCCCCAGGCCCGCGCTCCCCGGTTCAGGGGCTCCCGGACTGTGCAAGCAGCCCTCCTGCTGGCAGCAGCAGCAGCTAGGCCGGCCCTCCGTCTCCATGGTAACCGTACACAAACTGCCTCCCTCCCGCCCGCCCGCCGCGCCCTCCAGGCCCCGCTTCCCAGTCTCAGGAGCCCGTGGCCCCCGAGTACGCGGCAGCGACAGCCCGAGCGAAGGGAAGGGACGCCAGGGAGGGGGCTCTAGTCTGACCACAAGCACCTGTAGTCAGCGCTGGAAACGTCGGCGACTGAGGCTCAGCTCATTTTCCCAGTTTGTCGGAGGCGGCGGCAGCAGCGCAAGAGAAAGTAGCAGCTGAAGCCCAAGCACAGGCAAGCCAGGAAAACCTGGAGGCAGCGGAGGTGGGAAGACCTCTAGAGCGCCTCAAAGCAACTGAGCATGCGCGGACAGCCCTGACGCATGCGTGTACGCGGATTCGGCGGGAGCGGGGAAGCGGGAAGGAGGAAGGCGGGAAGACAAGTAGCGGTGCCTATCGGGACACCTAGGTAAGCCTTAGGGGTGGCATGAGATGGCATGGGATGGCATGGGGTAGAAGCTTGTATTTGTTTGGTATCCTTTTGTATTATCTCTAGATGATATTGATGTATGTTCCTCCTTGGTAGAACGTAAGCTCCTTGAGGGCAAGGACTGTCTTTTCCCTGCCTTTGCATCCCTATGTACCTGGGCATATAGTAGGCATTTAATAAATGCTTATTAAATTGAACCGAATTGAATATTACACTCGTTATAATTTCTTCATCATCATCACTACTGAGTGCCCACCCAGAGATCTCAGTAGCCCAGTTAAAGCTTAATTAAAACTAACTCTTTAGTCAAAGAGAGCTCAGTTATATTCTTCTGGTTAAAAAACAAAATAAAACAAAAATATTCCTCTCATCATACTTAGACAATTTAGAGATAGTTTTTAGTGTTAAACATAATTGAGTGTTAGACCTCACTAACTAGGCTGGAGAGGAGGAAGATAGAAAGATGTTGAGTCACTTTCCAATAGCTTAGCTAATTGGAGAAACAAGGCATTAACAAGAGAAGAGTTGATTGACAAGGAATTTCAGTAAAAGTTTAAATCAAAAAGTAATACATTATTAATTAGCAGATAACTGGTAGAGATATTAATAGCTCATTTAAAAAATGAAAGAAAAACTAAAATGTGGCAGAGTAGATGAAGACTTTTTTTTTTAGGCAATTGGGGTTAAGTGACTTTGCCCAGGGTCACACAGCTAGTAAGTGTGTTTGTGTTTGGTCTGAGGCTGGATTTGAACTCAGGTCCTCCTGACTTCAGGGCCGGTGCTCCATGCACTGCACCACCTTGCTGCCCCTAGATGAAGATTTTTAACCGCAAAATATTCCTTATAAAGAAATTACAAAGTTAACATTGTTCCATTAGGCTAGTCCTTTGGTAACTTGGGTTCTCTATATGAGTAAGAATCATAGTCATTAGTATAATAAGCCAGTGATAAACTGTTGCCTCTCCTCAACCAACACTAGAACAAGTGATAGATCCTATTTGGCAGATTTGCGGGAAAACGTGGAAAAGACGAACAGACTGAGGAGTTGTGATGATTTTACAGTATCTACTGATGGAGGGAGTACCCACAAAGAAGAAATCGTGGATCACTATATCTAGACCTGGAAAAAATATTAAGAGACCACTTTATCTAATGCCTTCGTTTTACAGATTAAACAACTGACCCCAATAGATGCTAACTGACTTACCACATCAAAACATAAGCCGCAAATCATTTTGGAATGCTGAGAAACAAAGAAACTCGGCTAGCATCTCAAAGGACCCATCATTTGTCCCCAATAAGAATTCTTTAAGTTTGCTACTTTTCAGCAACATCTTGAATCTTTAGATTATATCTAGCTTAATTCTCTGTACAAAGCAGTTACTGAAAAGTTACTGATTTAATATTCGGTTTTAAAAGCTTCCCCCCAAAACCGTGTTGCCAAATGGATAGTCTCTGAAAATTTTAAATCTGTAGTGGTAATAGTTATATTGAAATCACTGAGGAATCAAAGGCTTGTATTTATAACCCATTTCTTACATAATAGGAGGAACTTAGGGCATTCTATTAGAAAATTCTTCTGTCTTCATCATGTTCTGAAGGTAACACTTTTGATATATGGCATGATGTATGTATTACCTTTTTGTCATAAAAGCCATTGTCCTGCTAACCCTGCAGCAACAGTTGGTAGGAAGCAACAGGTCTTGGCATATGATCTTTGGTAGATTCAATCATTAACTGCCTATCCCTGTAATCCTGTTTATTTCATTCAGGGAACTGAGCCCTAAACCCCACACTTAGACCAAGAGTCCTTAAATTATGTCAACTTTACCCAAAGAAATTAGATTGCTTATGTTTACTTATTTTTTTGTCATGTGACTGTCACAGACCTTCATTTTGCCATGATTTACAAAGATTTAGCCCCTGGCTAAATGCTTTATTAAGTACCTTATGTACAGTCATCTGTTCTTGCCATTGAATAGAATGGACACAAAGTCCTTTTGCAATGATAGTATTGACTCTTTCATGCTAATATGTATATCCCATTTTCCTAAAATGGTAAGCTCTTTAAGAACAGTGACACTTTTTTTAACTCCACAGAGCACATAGTTATGACCACGTAACATATAACAAATTACTAATTGAACTAAGCTCTCAACATTTGTTAACTAACGTAGGAAAATCTTCACCATACACCCTAAGTAATTATCACATGCTGTCAAGCCTTTAGTTTAAAGTGGCCCTGCTTATATCATCACATCCTTCTGCAATCAGCCCCCAAACATGAAAATATTCTCAAATTCCAAGATTCCTAGGATGCTATTAGGTAAATACATGCTTACTGGAAAACTTATCTAACCAACTCGTTCTGAATGCAAGTATCAGGAAAGTTCAAACAATTGAAAAGTATAGAAAGGTGGAATGACAGAAAACATTTGAAGAGATTAAATTACTCCATTTATCTCAATGGGTGCACAGTGTGGGGAAATAATTAGGGTATAACAGCAAAAAGGAATTATACTGACCTACTGTACCTCTTCCTCCATGGTTACCGGAGGACTAAACAAACAGAATGCCATCGTCTTTATTGTTATGCTCTGTTAGCGACAACATTTCTGACACAGAATTTCTATGTTATGATTGATACCATGTTTTAGGTCAGACAAGAAGAGAACTAGATTGAAGATTTTTTAACCAAAATTTGACTTGACCTATGTCATCAGTACTACAGTTCTCCAGGACACTGGTGCCATTAGATAAAGTTTTGGGTTTTTTGTTTTTTGTTTGTTTTTTTGTCAGCTGCCTCACTTGGGAATTATATTTGCGGAGGACCTAAAGATATTAAAATTCATTTGAAAGTTCTTTCTTCCACTGTCAGTGTGCAGGCAGGCCAGAACCTATGGGAAGATAGATTGTTTTAAAAAAAAAAAAAGCACAGGCTTATTAAGTGCAAAAAAAAAAAAATTCAGCTTAGCCCACAAACAGCCCTCTCAGCTCTCAGTACCCCTAGACTATAGTTTGTAAAATCTGCATCGCATAAATTTAGTGTTCAGTAATTATCGCTTACCTTGTTTTATGTATTCTCAAAAAGTTATGTAAAAGTGAATATCTGTATATCATATATTTCCCCATTATCTTTTTAAATAATTTCAGAGAGATGACTCCACAGGGGGGAAAACAGTAATTCTAACAAGGAATTATTTCATAATAACAATTCAAATACTTTGAGATGTATTTGGCTTTTGTTAGCATGCAGTCCAGGTGTATCTAATTCTCCTAATCATCCCATGTAAGAAATTAGTTTTAAAATAATCAGATCACATTATCTTTGCATGCTAATTTTAAAGCATAAAGTATAACCAGTGTTATACTTTCAGACTAGGTTCTTGGATATTTCTTCATAATTAGACAACTAGATATGATTTGTTTCTTGGTCCCACTCAAAGGGTCTCTGTGTTTTAGCTTTGGGAACCTCTGAATCTAGCCAACTGCTATGTTGTTTAAGTCAATTCACCTGCTAGTGACCAAGGCAACTGATTAAGCATTTTGAGCATACATTTTTTTAAATCAGGCCCATGAGAATTCTTGTGGAAAAATTCTTGTGGGAAAATCCCAGTGAGGACACCTCTCTATCATTGAAGACTGACAACCACTCCACTGTTGTTAACCTTAGACAGTCACCTGGGCACTGGAAGGTTAGGGGACCTTCCTAAAGTCACACAGCCAATATGTGTCAGAGGCAAGACTCTGGGGCTCCTCACTACACTACACGTCCTTTCTTAGGCTAATAATAATAGTAATAGTATTAGCAGCTAACATCTATATAGGGCCTACTATGTGCTAAGCCCCTTATAGATACTATCATATTGATCCTCACAACAAGCCTAGAAGAGAAGTGCTATAATAATCCCCATTTTACAGTTGAGGAAACTGAGGCAAACAGAGGTTGAAATACACTAATGTACTCATTTCTAAAAAACATAGCTCAGGCCAGGCCAGACTCCAGTAACAAGGGATAAACTTGCAATGCCAATAAAGAAGTCCATACAGTATGGGTAGATTTAAAACTGTTTCTTTCTACCCAGTTTATGTCTGTTAGCCCATTGCTGGGTTGCATAGGCCAGCCAGGGTACCACAGTTCTCACAGTCTGCTTTAGCTCAAGCACCGAGCCAACAGCCCTTATCTAGCACTCACCATTTCTACATCCTTAGCTGTCTCCTCACTGCTCACATAGTGTGGCTTGCCTTTTTCTCCTTTCAGTTTCCATTCTCCCACACAGTACCTTCTAATGTTACAGGTTTTCTCCTGTGGAACTTCAGCCCATGGCATTGTGGGAGTCATAACCTTTATTCTCCCTCAGTCAACGCCTAAGGGCAGCCAAGTGGCACAGTGGATAGAGGGCCTGACCTGAAGTCAGGAAGTCTCATCTTCCTGAATTCAAATCCAACCTCAGACATGTACTAGCTATGTGACCTTGGGCAAGTCACTTAACCCTGTTTGCCT